AAATTTTCCAGAAACTTGCCAGGGTTTCCAACCCAACTCTAAAAATAAGTTGATTATTTAGCCGCGTTTGCAGTAATTCTCCCCAAAACTAAGATGAATATTCAACTCGGTTCAGACGCCATAGGCGTCGTCGTTGGCCTGCACCCCGCGCAAAGGAAGAAGGCGAGTGAAAGAGTCATCAGACTCCGCTAAACATGTTGCCTGGGTAAAGGCAAAGGCGTGGCGGGGCGTGGCGGGGCGTGGCGGGGCGTGTTGCGGAGGCATCAGGCGATTATAATGCGCTACCCGGGCCACGTGCGCGGGGCACTAATGGAGTGGTCTCTCGCACCGATCGACTCCCCCTCTCCCTGCTTCTCCCATCGACATCTCTCTCGCTCGCTCCCGCTCTCCGAGCGAGGCGCGTGTCGTTGAGCGAGAGAGAGAGAGAGCGAGCGAGCGACACAGAGAGCGGGGACTTCCCCTCCCTCCGGAGAGCCGCGCGGCGCGGAGCTGGCGCTCAACCAAACTCTTTGACGACGCCGTTGGAATAACACATCGGGGCAAGCAGACGACGCATGCAGATCCTCGCTCGCGCTTTGTCTACACACGCCTCACTTGCTCTCTCTCTCTCTCTCTCTCTCTCTCTTCCCCTACCTCATTCAGTATCTCAAAAATAAAAACTCATCAGATTTGAGAAGATTTGCAAGGATAGAATAAAGTTAAGGGCAGAAATAAACTTTCAGACAACGGCAAGTGATAACCGTGATTACCGTAATAAAATTGCGTGGTGAGGGAAAAAAAAATGATAATCATTGAGGATGACCATCATCATTTAGCAGCATAAGAGGGCACGACCGACCGGAAGAGACCGATAGGTCGACAGGACGCGAGTCGATATCAGAGTGCCCTCTTGGCCAAAGGTGTTTGCGATGGTAGGTCCAGTTAATAAAGTACGCGATGTATTTCGCACGACCCGGGGAAAGTTCAAACTGGGTGTCCCGCTCGGCAGACGGCAAGGCGCGGCAGGGTCGGGTCAGGTCGGGGGAAAAGGGAGGGGGGGGGGGGGGTCGGGAAGGGTACTGTTAGTCGGGGTCGTGGACACGACGAACGCTTGTTGGAGCTTTCAAAACTCGCCACTGTTGCAAACGTTTTCCTGGCGCAAGGGCCATCCAACCCTTTATGGGGGATTCATTGGAATCACCTTAGAATATCTATCTTAGGATGGGTGGAATGAGATTCATTGGAATCAATGAGAATCATCGTGAATCAATGGAGAATTAACAAACTTCCCTAGAAACACACGAGTTCGGTACAAAAGAGCGTAACTCCACAAATAGCCTAATTCAGAGATTTCTAACATTTCCAAATTGTTTTGAAGTATTACAAGTTCGATTTTGCTTTTTGCCCCAACAGACAAAGTATAGTACAGTATTACAATAAAAATATTGGGAGACTGCGTGGAGTGGGGAAAGGGCGAAGAAAAGAGGTTATCCTTATCCTGTCTGTCAGTTTTGTTTGGCGGATTTAAAGGGATAAGGATACATCACGAAGATACAATTCTTATTAAATTATTTGGCCCAGCCCGCCAGCGACACATGGAACACCCACCATGATGGTGGTTGTTTTCTGCGCGTGCCGGAGAGCGGCTCCGTGGCGGGGCGGGGCGGGGCGGGCTCGCTCGGCACAGGAACATGGTCCTGATCATGCGAGTCCTCATGTCAGCGGCGCGCCACTTCCGGCGGCCGATAATGGTACTAAAAGCGTTGTTGCACCAGGTGATCGCTGCGTGTAATTAGTCGAGCTGCTTCCTCTCTATCGAGCCTATTGATGGTCGCACCTCGGAAACGATCTTCTTACAGGTCTCTTCGAGATATATCGTCCCCAATTGCTAAGTAGATGCCCTCGCTCAACCGTCCCGCCAGCCCCCTCACTCCGCCGAGCCCCTTGCCTCCCTCTCCCAGAAAAATAAATAAAATGGAATGGAACGGAGAAGTGCTGCAATTTGCAACAAATTCATAAAGGACACGAAATTCCTTGCAATCACTGACAAAAACAAAGATGCTGTCATACCTATACTGATAAACTAAGTGTTCAACTCCGAAGTTGTACACTTCCAAGTGTTACACTCGGTAGTTGTGCACTTGCAAGTGTGCAAAACTCCTCCGTTGAACACTTCCTTAGATTGAACGCTGCTCACTGGGTAGGAAGTGCTCAACTCAGGAGTTGCACACCTACCGAGTTGAACGCTTCCAAGTGTACAATAATTACACACATTTGCACACTTGCAAGTATTCAACTAGTTTATCAGAGTAAAATGAAAATGCGTTAAAGGTTAAGTGTCTTTGCAAAAATAGCATTAAAACGGCCAAATGCACTAATTTTTAGCCTCTTTAGGGCTCTCTGTGCTTTTACAAAAGCGTTAAACTTAATTTTTTTATCACCAATGAAAAAGGTGCGACTTAGCGCCATGATACGAGAAGTAGAATAACCCTCGCTAAAACCCCCGATTGCATTATTTTATGTCATACAAAGATTTCATACATGACCGACGTCTAAGCATGCAGAGATGAAAAGACATATAAGACGACCGTCCCCCTTTTTACTGTGACGCCACGACGCCTCGGCTCCCTTTGATACACTACAACAGTGTTCTGCAATGCAATTGTCCGGAGATAAGATAAGGCTCCGAGTGTGTGTTTGACGGAGAGGGTACGGCGGCGTCCTCTGCCCCCCACAGCACTACACCAAGCTGTTGGCGTCGCAACCCGCGCAAAGGTTGATTCATTTTCCGACCACGACGACTGCGACGGGCAAGGTACGGCATGGTCACTTAGTTTGCTATTTGCTCCTAGTAGAACGCATATTCAGGGCAAAGCGAGCGAGAAATTGTTTAAAAAGCAAAGAGAAGTTCGATTTAAATTTTTAAAGGAAGCGCAAGCTTCAATATGCAGCGCTCAAGTTGAGAAAACACATGCGAGCGAAGCGAGCGAAAGGCTGAAGCTAAATATTTGTCTATCCCACCGGTAAGAACGGTATATCGGACGTCAAATTTTGTTATTCATGACTTCTAACTGTCTGTTTACTTGAGGAGAAATTCAACCCAGGCGATTTCACACATTTTCATAAGTTTACCCTTACTCTGCGCCATTCACCAATGCAGACTTTCCAAGACTTTCTTCGACCATTGTTCTTTATCTGATACAGTACGTTTCCATGACTCTTCTGATTTTAAAAATTAAATCTTGGTTCGCATGCATCCAGCATTAGTGCGTTAGTGTTCCTCATATCGTATTACTACGTCACAGCTGGTGCTTTTCGGGTGCACACTAAGAGCCTTATCAGGAGCATGCATATTGCACTCGCATTGCACCAGCAGATTGCCAGTAGTAGTGAGCAGCGACGAGGACCGACAGCACCCCCTGCTGGCGTGAAGTTCTGAGATCGACCGCTGCACCGCCGCGTGCTCCAGACGATGCAGTCCGCGGTGCTGCTGCTGCTTGCCGTGCTGCTGCCGGTCGCGCTGGCCGCGCCGCCCTACCCCCTGGGCTCCCCCGTGTATGACTCGTGGGCTAAATGTCTCAAGGACCGACAGGTGGGTCTGCTGAGCGTCTCGGGGGCGCCGCCCCTCTCCACCCCGCCGACTGACCCTCCCCGTGTTGCAGTGCGGTGAGCCGCATCAGGGGAACGTCTGCGAAGTAGGGTGCAGCGAAGGCGACGAGAAGTGCAAGGCCGTGTGCGGCTGGAACTGCATCCGCCACTGCGCGGGGCTGCCGACGACGGCGACGGACTGGGAGGACGTCAAGGAAACGCGCGACCTGGTTATACTGTGCGTCTTCGAGAAGCAGAATGGGTGCAGCAGTCAAGAAATGAAGTGCCGGGACGGCTGCAGGTGGTGGGATTTCAGCTGTAGTAAACTCGCATGCCGTGTCGAGTCAAAGAAGTGCCTGACAAAGAGCGGCTACGACTGCCACTACGCGGTGGCCAACAGGAGGAGTAGCACCAGCGAAGCCGTCGTGACCAGCTCGACCCAAGCCGTGAAAAGCTCCACGGACAAGGAATGGACCTGGCAGAATTACGCGGTCTGTGTAGATCAGGTGAGT